ACAGGCAACATCTTCTCTAACGAAGCTCCTGCACATCTACCTCCTTCAACACGCTACTCACCGAACGTCTTCTACTGAGCAGCTCCCCACCACATAACAGTTTCCTTCCATCCTGAGTGCTAGACTACATTAATATCTCGGATACCCCTACACTGTATTCAGGAGATTTTTAAACCATTTAATTATCTCTCTGTTATGGAAGCAGAAGTAAAATACATGTAAAGGATATTCTACCTCAGCACATCTTACACAACTATCATCTTGTTTTATGTTTAACATTTTTAGTCTCTGATTTGTTGGTAGAGTTTCATGAATATACCTATATATAAAGCCTCTGGTGAGGATCCATATATTTACAAGTAATATTTTCCCAAATAAAAGGCCAATTAAACAGCGGACACTTTTCTTCAACTGCAGGCTTTGTCCATATCATTAACATATTGTATACATCTTTATTCTTGGCATTGGGAGAGTTATGAGGCCTTGCTAACCTTCTTAGGATATTGATTGCATTACTATAATAAGGTGGAGACAAGTAGGAAACATTATCCGTAGGTTTCATTTATAATAGATAACTGGTCCTTATACTGGTATAATATGGAGTTAAAGATTTCCTCTTTTCATGGTCTGATGCAATTTTTATGAAAGTTGTACATAATATAGCAGCAGCTTTACAAAACACATTAACTGCTCCAATACCACCTTGTTTGACAGGTAAATAGAGTTTGTCTTTTAATTGGATGGTACATACCACTCCACATGTATTTAAAAATACATGATTCAATTTTCTGTGAGTACATTTTATTTAATGGAAATGTATGGGATATGGTACCATACCTTGGACAAAACTTTTAAGTTCACAATAATTGCTTTTTGGTACAAGGATAATTTTCTGTTTGATAAACAATTAACAGTAATGCTGATATTTTCCAAGATTTTGTTCCAATTCATATTAACAGTATGTTCGTAATCTTCTTGATATATAGTGCCTAAGGTTCTGGAATATTCTGCTGATCTCATCCACAGCACAGGCCATAAATCTCTCTTCTTCCACTCACCCAAGCCCATAATACTTGTTTTATCTTCGTTTAATTTAGCATCTGTTGCTTTCTCAAGCCTTTCTATTTCTCTGCTAACCTCAATTATGGACTGGTGTGTGGCAACAAAGACTGTAGAATCATCACCATATCCCTGTATGGGAATTTTTATGTTGTTTGGTAACTGTGGGGGAATTATTCTGGCATTACTGTTTACTGATAAATAAAAAGGTTCTTGGAAAAATACATAGAGAATCATAGAAAGAGGACATCCTTGTCTTACTGATCTTTCAATCCTGAATGACTTACTTTGGATACCACCGTTTGTCAGGGGTCCGCACCCTTCCTTTTTCCAGCCGTATGTAGCCAGGAATTGTTATACATGCGGCCGGCTGAACGACATTCAAAATTCGGGCATTGCAGCCGGTGTAGCAGTTAAAAGTGAAGTCTAGGTAAAAATGAAGTGTTTGCCTAACATATCGTACGGCACTCCAGGCAGAACGCCCTGAGATTCCGTGGTGAGCAGAGCTGGTGAGTGGTGACTGATAGCGAGTAGCAGTACATTCGGCTTCCATGCATTTTGATGTATAATAATTCAATTAATTAATTGGGTTGTTGGAAGTGAAAATGCAGTGAAGCCAGAAATATTATTCAATATAGATAATAAAGGGAAATAAATAAATACCAGTCCAGTGCATAAGGGGTATTGTAGTGGATACTCTCCTCTACAACTGCTGATTGGTCACTTGCCGTCCGCTTCCCAGCCAATCAGCAGCGAGTTCCACAAATAAGCCCTTGGGTTCGAACTGCGCAGTGATTGGTCAGTTGCCGCCTTCATATCAGCCAATCAGCCGCGTTTCTCATGTTTGTACTTCGACTTTTGATCCGGCAGTGTAAAAATGTATTAAAATAAAATATTAAGGCTTACATAATCTTTGACTTTTTCTTTTACACCTTTCAAGTAATACCGCTGGATAATTTTTTCAGTTGTGGTATTGATACCACTGTGCCCAGCAGATGGTGCAGCATTGCAGTTCAAAAAAGACTACTCTGCTTTTCTTCTTCTGAAGTTATAATTCTCTGCCATAATCCTGAATTTGGTACTCAAATTTGCTAACCATCAATTCTCCACTGATTACTGCTCGTAGCCTTCACCACTGCCTTCTTTATACGTTAGTCGCTGCCTGGCTGATGGGTGTTATTTTTTAGGGAGTACTTAACATACTCTATGTACACAGAAAACTTTTTAAAATTCTCTCTCTGCATTTCCTGCCCTGTCAGAGTCGCCATATCAACTTATCTATCGCCACAGCATAACTAGTCACTTCTGGTCCGATGCAGGGTGAGGCTGGGTCACGTCACCGTTTGTGAATGTGACGTCATCAACCGCGCATGCGCAATTATCGTTTCGGCTACTTCTGGTTCGCTATACCGGAAGAAGTACCAGAGAGGAGTCCCGAATTATATACTGTATAATAACTGATTTGTTTACAAAAAGCTGGAGCTGGAAAATCAATCTGTTTTTATACATGTCAATATTTTGTTGACTTAAGACCATATTAAACGTTAACATCACCCAGTTTATAAATTGAAACTACCAAATCTATTTGCCTGAAATTTGTAAATTGCAATAAAGTTATTCTGAACCACAGTGTAAAATATTTACTTGTAGTGCAATGTTTGTGTGACGGAATAGCATACTTATGTAATGAGAGGGCAGCCATCTCCATATTTCCAAAAAAGGACTTTTTTTTTGCGACACCTATATTTTAACCTAAATTAAGCATGTTTAATGATGAGTTGAAAATATATAAAAAGTTGGGATCACCTGAAGAATCATCGCCCCAGCTTATTTCACCTGAAGATTAACTTCCTTAATGCTAACTTAACCTAACCTAAACCTATTCTATCCTAACCAAAATCTAACCTAACATATCCTAACCTAACCTCATCCTCCCAAAATAGTTTTAGGATGGTTTAATCTTTAGGTGAAATAAGCTGGGGCGATGATTCTTCAGGTGATCCAAAAGTTGTATAGAATATACAAAATATACTTAGAATTGTTGATTTGTCAAATATCACTACAATTTCAATTTCAATAATTTATTCCTTGATAGAGGAAGCGGGATCCTAGTGCTGTCACTAGGAATACCCCTGTACAATAACACCAGAAGCATCTGGCTTACTAAAGCCTAGGGAAAGAAGGATATTCCTTTAACACATAATCAATGTTATTTACATAATATCTGGCCAGTAGGAGGATCATCGTGTCTCCGTCAGGGGGTCGTGGAGTGGTGGTCCAGCAGGCGTCACGGAAGCGTTGTGTGTGGGGACATCTTAGGAGGTAGTGGATAAGGGTGCGGCTGTCGGGTCTTCTGCATAATGCATATCACTACAGTATAATGTGATGAATGCTATTTTGTGGTAATTTTTCTTAAATTTCATTTTTTGGGGGAATGCACTGTATATATTACATACATGCATTCACACAGTATAAATAAAGAACTGAAATAAATGAATATTCATTTTTACTCCTGCTGAAACAGCATACGCTAACCAAATTGAAGCAAGAACAAAAAAGTCAACCACTCTCCCCTGCGGCCTTGGGCAGACTGACCATCTCGGACGTGTTGAACTTGACGGTGTTGACAACTTGACTCGTACTGTCGAACACTGCGGCTCCTCAGCAGTGTTGACAACGGCAACTACATATTATGGCCTTCAGTTCCCGCTGTTTTAAGTATACCTAAGGTAATTTATATAATTCTTTTTAGTCAGACAACAAAAAGGACAAATTAACGTCCGCCTCGAGGTAGCGCCGGACGGAGGACAGAGTGCTCAAAAGCCGGACTGTCCGGCCTAAAGCCGGACGTCTGGCCACCCTATTTATTTTAAAGCCTGCATTACATTTCCCAATTTCACTGCACTTTCTTACAAGATTTACATAATCTTTTTTGTAATCATAGATAAAGCTAAAATGCGTGGTATATATACAAATAGGTATGGGTTATCACTTAAATTGAATTGGGTGTTAGTAATCTTGGGAACGACTTATCTCGTGAGTTGGGTACGAGTTATCCTGGGTACGACTTGACTTTTTGGGGTACGAGTTGTCTTGGGTACGAGATGACCCTAACCCTGTTAAAAGCAAGAGCACCAATCTTTCTCACCTGTACAGATGCATTGGAGAACTGAGGCAACGGGTTATGATACTCCTGGTAGAATAGGATGTTCACAGTTCCACTATTACCAATACACCTTCACTGACAATTGTTACAGCAGTAGTTCTCAGCGACTTCTGTTCCTCGTGTCTTTTCTTCATAATTATCACTTTCAGGTTTGAGAGGTAAAGCAAGTGATATTATTACAGTTTCAGCCACATCTCGGTTAGAGCAATTTTGTGTTTACCATTAGTTATATCTTGTCAATCGGAACAACTTTTTCTAATACCACTTCCGTCGCAAATGGATATTAACCAAGAAGTAAATTCACCTAAGAAATTATCATAAATCTGCAGTCACCGCGTGTCGTCTGTTTACAGCTGACCCGTGTGTACTGTACTCTCATGTCCACAAAAAAACGTGAAATTACATCATGGTGCTTCAACAATGTTGCTTTCATTGGTACCAGATATTAAAATAAGTATTTTCTCTTTAATATAGCGGTGATGGATAGGAAGTTTGTTAAGGTTAAGGAGGTTTCGTTGGTTGGTTAGATCAGGTTCTATGGTCAGGTCAGGTTAATTTCCGATGGAAATGAAGGTCAGATTGGAATGAATCACACCAAATACCAAGGGAAGAACAAAAAATTGTGGTCGAACAGTAGTTGTGGCTGAAATGGTAAATTTACCAAGCAAGTAACATCTGCTTGCACTTATCAATACACTGTAAACTTCAGCTGTAGCCAATAAATATCTCCTGGCGAACATTTCTCTCTAGGGAAACCAAGAATCAAAGTGGAAGATTATATACCTCGCTGTTTTTATTTCCAGATAATTACAGGAAAGACTTTCATACAACAATTGCTTGTGAAAATTGCTGACAAGGTAAACACTTAAGTGTAATTGGAATTAAAACCATACCTCAAGTCGAAATTATTATACTGTGTAAGTTGTACAACGATTATTTTACCATAAATTAATTATCTCCCACAATTAGATGGCACACACGAGCAAAGGTGCTAGACTGACACCATCCAAGAGTTCTATCTCCCACAATAATTTAAAGTTGGACTCGTGTATTACTAACCTTGTTACGCGCTTAAAGACCTTCGTTTTTTTTTAAGTGTAGTAATAACGTTATAGCAAACTGCACCATCCAGGACGCTGCTCGCTGAACAAGTACAGTATATAACACTAATTGTTGGATATGCAATATTTCCCACATAAATAGTGACCTATCATCTTATGAAAAGTGCGGGAATAACAATAATATGAAGGACTTTACAGTGGAAAGAGAACAATAATTATAGTAAGGAATATAAGACAAGAAAATCTATAGCTACAGAAAATCAAGAGCAGAAGTAAAAGCTCAACTGTAAAGACAAATGACAAAATAATTGAAATAGTATTCTACATTATTCCAGTATTTTTGTGCACACACTGACAGATAAGTGCAAAATATTCTTAATATGGACCGAAAATATTTTCTAAAATCAGTAATATTAACTGAAGTTACAAAAAATGTACATCTAGTGTACAAGATGTCTGGATGTAGCTAATGTTCACACACTTACATAGACGAGCTAAACAACATGTTTTGAGAGTGAGTCTTGTTGGATTCAACTCGGAAGAACTGTGAAACTGTTTCTTTATTAATTTAACTGGTCATAAATTCATAAAATCTTTATGACACCTTACATCAATCAATCCCAACACAATTGCAAGCAAATTATAAAAATACTGTTATTTCACACAGTCATATAAAGTGATATTTATGAGCAATCACACCATTGATAAGTGATCATACAATCTATCCTTCTCCGCCATCTTAGATTTATAAACAAAGCATCAAATGTATGTGGGCAAGTTATCTACCATGAGGACATTCCTTGATGTCAATCATTCATCATCTGAATCCTCTTCTTCACTGTCAGAAAAAGATGGATTATATGGATTGTTACAGTCTCTCCTGCACCCACAGGTAAGAGAGCATGGTGACTGGTTTTTATTGCATGTGCATCATCCTGAGGTGCATTTTGCAATCTTACAACCACATGTTAACAACTCTGAGCAAACTGTTGATACTGGATCTAAATGCATCAGTGTGGGTACTAAAGTGTTGCTGGGACCCATTTACCACCCAGATTCTTCTGGGTTTGTGGTATCTGGCTTGGCAGCCACTGAATTTGGTGTTGACATCGTCTCAAGTGTAGTTCTAAAGAATCGTTTTGGGGGGAAATTTCTCTGGGTTGTCCACATGATGAAACATTTCAGCTCGAAGTTCATTCACTGATGTTGCGTGTGAGGTTGGATCATACAGCTTGATCACAAATACCTCAGAATTATCGCCAAGTGAGTCAAAAAGATGTAGATGGGAGGTATAAGTTGTCCAAGCTAACGTCTTTCCATGACCACTAAATTGACTAGTAGTGTCACACCCAGTGACTGCAGGGAATGCTGGCAAGTTGGCAACAAGAACTGGGAAGAGTGACTGCGTTACTTCATGCACCAGAATAAACCTAGGGTTACTTGTTGTACCAGCTTGCATCCACACCTCTTAACGTGGTGAGTAAAAGGTACCAACACATCCTTGTCCCTACTATAAACAGCAAGTCTATGATAATTGTTTTGAGCAGCATCTAGTCCATGAAGGACCAACCTAGTGTCTGCCTCTTCCTGGGCACTGATGATAACACAACAGTTTCAGAGTTTTCACACCCCCAACAACAAGCTCCTGATCCACAGGGAGATTTTCGGCATGGACCGGAAGCTCTTTGGTAAGAAATAGAATGAGATTGGTTTTATTGTCATCGAGGTTTACGAAATTGTGCCATGTTGTTGGGAATTGTACATTTCTAGAGTCGATAATTCTCCGCATTTTTCTTCCTTTGCAACATTCGAATGTCAGGTTTGGTGGAATAGTTTCTATAGAAATAAAATATTACGTTAACTCTGCTACATATTCCTCGGAGGTGGCTCAAAATATTCTTGCAGAATATTTCAGTCAGCTCCCCAAAATTTGTAGCCTCAGATGGCTTTCCCAAGGCTTGAACTAAGACCATACCATCAACGAGTACTCAGGTGAGCTCATTTGTTGCTGGCAATTCCGTTACTTCATGTGCATTTGCTAATATATGGGAGAGTAGGACCTTATCTGGTTTTCTGAGCTTTCCATCAAATGTTGCAAGATCAAGCGGCATTGGTGATAATTCATGCTGTAGCAACAGTGAATGATTGATTTCTCTACCACTTGTTGAAGCACTGAGAAGCCGTCTGAGTAGGTCACGATCTCTTTTGATGCAAATGTTTTGGACCTGTTCTTAGGAATGACATTATAGAAATTTTCTTTATGGTTCTGCTTAAGTCGGCTCTTGATGAATGTCTTCACCAGGACTTTGCCTCGCTCCACAGCAGTTAACAAATCAGCCTTGATATCGAAGGAAGCAACATCATTGGTCGAAATACCTATCAGCTCTGTGTTATTCCTTCTAAAAGGGTTGAAGTCCCGTAGCTTCTTGGCAATTTTCTTGACGTGGTCTTCATCCCTCGATAGACGTTGATCTCCATGCTCTTTCTGTGTTTGAGGGCTGGTACTTGACAACCATGATGTAGTTGTATGTCTCAGCATCAAACGGTCACGAGCAGACTTTGCACGTGTTATATCTGCATCGATTCGGTGGCGATATGTGAAGGGCATTAGCTTTTCTCTTACTGCAAAAATTCGGTAAAATGGCAATAATCATGCAAAACAAAGTATTATGATTGTGAGGGAATGCACACACCTAGAGATCTACAACCAGGCAAAAAAAATCACGAAGCACCTCTTTAAGAAGAAAATATTGCTGTAGCTTTATACCTCTCGGGGTAAACCAACTTTAAAAATAAGCCTTTTTTTGAATTTGGGACACCAGACTAATTAACAATGTTCATTAGCATTACACTTACAATCTTTACATTTGAAGGTGATGGTACGTTTACTGGTAAAAGTAGGAAAAGAGCTTGTTGGTTCTAATCTTTCCACCTCATGCATTTTTCTACATATTTTACAAAACAAAATCTTTGGACATTCATTAGTTTCGTAAGCTGACTGGTGACTAACATTTGCCAGATTATAAATATTTCCAAGGGTGTGGAATAATTCCATCCCAACACCGAAGACAGCGTCTGAGGACACACGACGATGCTCACTTTGTTTACAGGGGTCAGCATTTCCTTTATAATTTACATCATCTGGATAAGTGTTCGAGGTCCTCTCCGCAATAGGCACACCGAACTCTTCAGTACCTAGGCGGCGCAGATCTGATATAAATTTCGACATATGGTCATAGTTCTGAACCACTTCGTCCTTTATGAAGTTTATAACCTCGGATCGTAGCTCTTCCAGACTAGAATCCTTAGTAGCTTTGCCGCAAGCTCCATTCTGTGAAAGAGGTGACAGCTCTCGCAAGATCATGTCACACTTCTTCCAGCTCTTGTTCCCAATCTTCCAGTACATCATGTCGAATTCGTCAATTTCTTGCCCTGGATTTCTATTGAATATAGAATTATTGAATTTTAAGAAGGACTTGGATTCTATTCCATAGGACCTCATTGCCTCGACGACTGGAGGAACCTTCTGGTTGTCAATAAATGTGATAAAAGGGATCAAGTGATGAGCAACTCGCTGGCCAAACTGTGTTGACAAATAGTCCATAAGGAGGCGTTCTGAAGAGGTAAGACGCACTTCATGAGCCCGAGCTACAAAACCAACAGCATGGATATCAAGACCGTTTGAGGCAGCATTTCCGATGAAGGTTTTAAGTAAGTGAACCTGATCATCCACTTGTGGCCCCGAGGAGTCATGTAAACCTGGAGTATCAATGATAGTTATAGGAATCTCACTTTCCATGAAGCAAAATGTATATGCAGTAATAGATGTTGTACGGAAGTATGCATCCTTTGAATTTGGCTCTACATAAACCAAGTCATCAGATGGACTTTTGGCATTTTTGATGCAGCTGGCAATGAAGTTGACAAGCGTGGTTTTCCCGCTACCAGAAGCTCCAACGAGGAAGATAACCTTTTCTTTCTCTTTGGAACTGACGACACCAAAATATTTCCTCGTCATACCACATATATCTGAGAGTGATTTAATTGGTTGAAGGATTCTAGACTCATTGTCGAGATGTTTACTTGAAGTTGCTCTGGTGGCTGTGGTGTGTGACTGTGCATAATCGTCCAGTTTACTTTTATTTGACACTAGTCTGGAAACTGTGGAATATTCTTCTACTTTACCAGAATTTTGTCGTTTATCTATATGTATATGTGAAGTTGTCTGTAAGTTTTTATTGTTATTCTGAGAGTTTGGGCTACTGGTCTCTGGCAAATCGCCAACTGTATTTTCACTCATGGGTTCTCGCAGACTTCTACAAGGATCTTTACCTAATGAATATGGGTTGTATATAGTATCAGGATATGAATGATCTTCAGTAGTTGACCAAGAGTACAGTTCTTGTACATCATCTGTGCGGTGGCTACTGGCTGAGGGTGTGTTACTCTGTGTCAGCTGAGGGTGTACAGAAGCCTGAGTTTGTTGTCCCAGTTCTGGACTCTTTGGAGAACTTCTGGAGCTAACGTTTGATTGCTTTATATTTGTTTGTTGACTAACACCTTCATCAGCCTTAAATCTTGAGTTTTGAAGTTCCAAGTTCTGATTTCCGGCAGTAATTGTAGCAGCATTTACCGCTTTTTCTGTCACTTTAACACCAGCTCCTAATGGGTCACCTGTAGCCATTATAATGGGTTTCATGAGACGCACAGAGTAAGGGGTGTCAGAAACCTTGGAATTCTTAAGTATATGGCAGAAGTCGTCTCCACTTTTACTGATAGATGTCTTGGTAACTGGGGAAACTGTATCATTATCACTGCTATACACATGTGCCTGTTTAAAATTTGTCAGCATTTTTCGGGGAACAATAAATTTAGAACTTTCATATAGTATATTTAAAAGAGAAGTCTCCATTCTAGCTCTATCATCATCCTCTATATGCTCTGAGAAAAACATCAACATGTGAGCATTGTATTTACGGCTAACTGAACTCACAGTATGTTTAAAACAGTCTGGGATAATGTTTCTACCTTCCTCCTCGAGGACTTTACTTCCCTGAACAAGAAGAATGTTCTTACAATCTAGTATGCCTATGTCTTTTACCCAACGTCTGTCTTGATGTGCTTCATCTTGTTTTAAATCACTTAAGTCCTTTCCATGCCAGGTTCTTAGAGTGTAGCAGATACGTTTTTGAGTTCCAACCTTCAGTATACTGTCATGGCGGTAGAACTCTTTGGCTGAGGCGCAGTAAATCCACCCAGGGAACACCTCCTTCACTTGTACATCGATTTCTTCCAGGTCTTCGTGGCTAAAAAGAATAGATTAATTTAACATGCAAGTATGATAGACCTACACTACAAGATGTTTATCATTCTAAGGCATAACGGTCTTGGTCCTCAAAGGAAGGAGAAAAATGCACAATGTGTACAGAAAGGCCTACACAACATGACGCCAGGATGCCATAGATTGATACTGTAGAGAGAGATTATCCCCGGGAGGGAGATTAAATCATGAGGGGAGACTGGTTGATACCGACACCTGGTTGACTAACATCTGGTTGATACCGGCACCTGGTTGACTAACATCTGGTTGATACCGACACCTGGTTGACTAACATCTGGTTGATACCGACACCAGGTTGACTAACATCTGGTTTATACATACTGGCATCTGGTTGATACTGACTCCTGGTTGCTCTTCGGCAACTTTGCACCAGTTTGTTATTATCTGTTTTTTTTTTGGTTTGGAAATAAATTAAATCTTCCATAGCGTCTCTCCTTGGAGCACTCCATAAACAAACCATCAGTTGATGTGTGACGTGACGCGTAACCTATCTTCGGACATTCTACGTCTTTGTTGTGAAGCATCAAGTGTACTGTGATGAAGGTAACAGAGAGAGGGTTGGGTACACTTACGTTGCCATGGTTGAGGAGGAAGTCATGTTCAGCTGTGTCACTCGAGTGCAGCTCCAGTATGACAAGTGTACCGCAGTCTGGTGACTAGTTGTGTTGTCAGAACCATCCAGGAAGGTACGCCAATACCTGTCAAGTATGTGGTTTTATTATATGCAAATTAAATATAAATGAGGCACGTAATAATAACATCATATAACTGTTTGTTGTAGACCTACCTATCTGCTGAGTGTAATGGGGGATACGAACACTTCTTTATATTTACCTCCTAACCTGAAGGTTAAAACAAACTTATGTTTGTTTGTTTGTCTACAGGTCATCAACGAGTGACCAGAGACAATGATTCTAAATACCGCCAGAATTTTTTCTCCCAGTCAGGGTAGAGGCTTCCACTACGTCACTAAGTAGTTGCGCAGTCCACTAACGCTTCCCATCGCAGATCAAAACCCACAAAAGACACATGATACGAACACCTTTTGGCTTCTTTGTATAACAGTAAATTGTAACACATGATGAGGCGACTAATTTAACATTTTGGAGACAGAATAATCGTGAAAATCCATGATAAGCCAACAGTTCTACAGGGTTTCTACTTTCTTACCCATTCGAAATTTATTGTCTACTATTTATCCTTTACTTTTTTCTGCTTGTATCCGTTTTATTTAGTTTTCATATTTCTTTTCATACGTTCGTCATGGAGGTTGGAGGAATAAACTTGTATATTCTTCCTCCCCCATCCTTTAACCCGGCCAATTATTAGTATTAATAATATTCTTCATTGTTTTAAAAAGCCATGCTATTACACCCTTTACTACGGCGACCGACGCCTTGTTTATACACAGAGTATATACAGTATATATTTTGGGGGCTAATGACGCACGCACGATGTTATTTATGGAACCCCGTTCATAAGGGGTTAAACAGTCTTTGTATCAAATCTTTACATATCGTTACTCCGATAGGCCCACAAGATCATAACACCGCGTATTGCCAATAGAGAGTTCAACGCAGATAGAATGAACCATCCATACATCACCCAGTCTCCTCACAATCATGTTGAGTACAGTTATTATTTTCACACCTTATTCAACCTGTACTGTTTAGTTGTTGGTGAGAATAATCATTACTTTCTTTGTCGTGTAGTTTTACCCTTACACCTTATGACACTGTATACGGCACGTGACTTGTGTATGCGTGAGATGTGTTCGGACATGTGAGATGAGCGGTTGACAAGACACACTATGCAGTCACCTCTCTTCATTGTGTCATTTCTTCTTTACTTTTGTTATGATTTATTATACTTCTCAGCGATAACGCGTAGATGCTCCTGAGCTAGGCTGAGAGACACAGTTCAGGTGAGAGATAGAGTTGAGTTAGGTTAAGAGATACAGTTAAGTTAGGCTGAGAGATACAGTTAAGTTAGGCTGAGAGATACAGTTGAGATAGGTTAAGAGATACAATTTAGTTAGGCTGAGAGATACAGTTGAGATAGGTTAATAGATACAGTTAAGTTAGGCTGAGAGATACAGTTAAGTTAGGCTGAGAGATACAGTTGAGATAGGTTAAGAGATACAATTTAGTTAGGCTGAGAGATACAGTTGAGATAGGTTAAGAGATACAGTTAAGTTAGGCTGAGAGATACAGTTAAGTTAGGCTGAGAGATACAGTTAAGTTAGGCTGAGAGATACAGTTGAGATAGGTGTGTTCTGTAGTGTAATAGATATTGTATGTGGTAGAAGATGTTCATTATACCCATCTACACATTATGGTAGACGTTCATTATACCCATCTACACTGTATGGTACACGTTCATTATACCCATCTACACTGTATGGTACACGTTCATTATACCCATCTACACTGTATGGTACACGTTCATTATACCCATCTACACTGTATGGTAGACGCTCATTATACCCATCTACACTGTATGGTAGAAGACGTTCATTATTCCCAACTATACTGTATGTGGTAGACGTTCATTATACCCTTCTACACTGTATGGTAGACGTTCATTATACCCATCTACACTGTATGGTAGAAGACATTCATTATACCCATCTTCACTGAACGGTAGAAGACGTTCATTATACCCATCTTCACTGTATGGTAGAAGACGTTCATTATACCCATCTACACTGTATGGTAGAAGACATTCATTATACCCATCTTCACTGCACGGTAGAAGACGTTCATTATACCCATCTTCATTGTACGATAGAAGACGTTCATTATACCCATCTTCACAGTACGGTAGACGTATCATCATACTCATCTACACTGTATGGTAGAAGACGTTCATTATATCCATCTACACTGTATGGTAGTCGTTCATTATACCCATCTGCACTGTATGGTAGTCGTTCATTATACCCATCTACACTGTACGGTAGTCGTTCATTATACCCATCTGCACTGTATGGTAGTCGTTCATTATACCCATCTACACTGTACGGTAGTCGTTCATTATACCCATTTACACTGTATGGTAGTCGTTCATTATACCCATCTACACTGTATGGTAGTCGTTCATTATACAGTGTATGGTAGTCGTATGTCATTATACCCATTTACACTGTATGGTAGTCGTTCATTATGCCCATCTACACTGTATGGTAGTCGTTCATTATACCCATCTACACTGTATGGTAGTCGTTCATTATACCCATCTACACTGTATGGTAGTCGTTCATTATACCCATCTACACTGTATGGTAGTCGTTCATTATACCCATCTACACTGTATGGTAGTCGTTCATTATACCCATCTACACTGTATGGTAGACGTTTATTATATCCATCTACACTGTATGGTAGTCGTTCATTATACCCATCTGCACTGTATGGTAGTCGTTCATTATACCCATCTACACTGTACGGTAGTCGTTCATTATACCCATCTACACTGTACGGTAGTCGTTCATTATACCCATCTACACTGTATGGTAGTCGTTCATTATACCCATCTACACTGTACAGTATGTGGTAAAGGTTTATATTAAGAGACATAAATGTTTCGCTTTCTTTTATTTGATGTAAACAGAAGTTGACTCTTACCACCAACTATACAGTATATACAAATAGCATAAATTACAAGGCATATTTGTAAACAACCAAACACACAGGCACCATTACATGAGTAATTACAAGTTTTATCTCGAAGGATACTAATTACAATAAGGCCCTTTCCCCCCAAAGGTAAACACGATAATCTCCTAATTGGTGATCACTCTAACACAAGTTTCAAAATATAAATCACAAGTGAAGGAAGACTGACAATAGCAAGTTTTACTGCATCAGTAACATTTCAGTTAAAAGCCTTGGTTAATACGAGACAAGAAAATCAAATAGAGGTCCTCACTGTGCCGGGTAAGGTCCAGAGCTTCTTTATACTTCAACAGTTCAATAACTTCCAACATGAAGATGAATGAGAGGTGTACCTAAACTACACTGTAGACATTAACTAACATTATACAGAACGTCATACGAGATGAATACATTTTATTTCATCACTCAACAAGGTCGTGGAAATATTTCAGCAACGATTCACCAGATGCTTTGTTACAGTTGCCACGCACTCCTTGGATTACCACCACCTCTTCCTTCAGTTTCTCCAACATTTTAATCCTTTTCATAAAGTTGTGGCGTTTCTGCATCTTTTCAGACTCGATCATTAGGTCAATGTATTCTTTGGTTGACAGTGGGTTGGGCTTCAGGGCAATTTCTTCGAGTCTTTCCACGTGTCTCTGAGCCTCCTGTATCAAGTCAATAAGCATTTGAGCGTGGTCATTGATATCTTGCTCTATGGCTTGAATTGCACCTTCCTTAGTAAGTTTGTTCTGCTTAGCTTTCTGATAACGGTCCAGCAGTTCCTGCACAGTGCGCGTTTCCTTTACCGAGGTGTGCTCGTACCTGAAGCTCATGTTCTTATGGAGGTCCCAAGAGCAATTACCTGGACAGATTCTACAGTAACCATTTGTTATGGCCCAACATTTAGCCTTGTCATTATCATCAGAAATAGGACACGGATAATGACACGTCATGTTACATTTGACACAATTGGTGACATTTACCTTAGGACTCAGGCCAATCTTAAACTTCTTAAGAATGTTAACGATACATTTCCCTATAAATTCCTTAGGAGTCAAGTCAATATCGATAATTTTAGGAATTTTAATAGCACAACCGTCTTCCCCGTTCTCAGAACTCAACTTAATCTTCCGAGTACTGGACACTTCAACTTCCTCCTCATAATTTGCACTCCCTTTCATGTCATCGTCAAGACGAGCCAACATATCTCTCTCTTGGTTCAAGTTTGAAAGCTTAATCAGACCTAAGTTAATCTGATTCTGCAAACCAATTACCACTACCTGTAGACGACTTCGCTCCTCAAGCACCTGTTTGGTAAGTGTTAGACTTACTGGAGAGGTTTTCCCCAACTTCAAAAAGAAGTTCTGCAGGCTCCGGTACCCCATCTCCCAGAACAACTTGTTGATATAAGACGAATCTTCATCATCCGAGTCTGAGTCATCAGCATCATTATCAGCAGTTGCGTTACAGGCATACAGTGCGCTGTTGTTGAACTTATAGAACCCAGAGTAGTGAACACCAGCTTCCTTGAGAGCGTCAAGAACTGGAGGAGTGTTGGCATCAGCAAACGTAGCCATAACATAAATGTTGTCTTTAATATCCTTACCAAACATAGATGACAGGCCATCATAGACGTATCTCTGTGTCTGTGTTAAGCGAGCAGCAGAGGCAGGGGTAACAAAGCCAACTCCATCTACTTGATCAATGCCATAATCTTGTTTCAGAAATGATTCTAGTTGACTCATCATTTCACGGTCACGCTGAATTCCTCTTGTGTCCCCAAAGCCTGGAGTATCAATCAGCACATAGTTGTACTCAAAGGGCATACCAGGTAACTGGTAGAATGCATAAGCTGTGATCATATCTGTTTGACTCTCCGCCTGAGAACGCTTTGGGGCATTTTTGTCGTCAATCAACACAAGTCTGAACTTGTCAGTGAACTCAACACGGTATATGAAGTTGACCATGGCATTGATGAGAGTTGTCTTACCGGTACCTGTAGCACCCACCATCAGTATCACTTTGGTCGGCCTATTGGT